CAAACAGAATAAATCTAATGTCTCTCCCACATGACAGACAACTATCATGTGGTCCTTCCCACCCCTAAAGTTTTTTTTTCCTCTACGCTAATCATCATACAACATGGACTAAAGCCCTTTTACTTTTCTGGTTGCTTTTTTTCTGGATGCTCTCATCTTATCAATGTATTACCTAAACTGTGGCATCCAGAACTGAACACAATACTCCAGATGTGGTCGGGCCAGAGCAAAATTAATTCATGGAAGCTATTCCTCTCTTAAAGAAGTCAAAACCTATATTAACTTTTTTTAGTTGTCACATTAGACTGCTGATTCATATTTAGCTTGTAGTACATTAGAACCCCAAGATCTTTTTTAGACAAAATCTTGTACTTGTTAGCCTGATTTTTTTTAAATGAAGTGTAAGACTTGACATTTATCACAAATTCCATTTTATTGGACTGAACCCAGCAGATATTAAAATATAGGAGAACATGGACAAGAGACATAGGAGATGGGCAAATATCTGTAATTTGTATTACTAAAGGGAATAGTCACATTGATTCAATAACATCAATTTGAGAAAAAATGAGACAAACAAGTACCTGATCTAGGTCATTAAAAGATGAATTGTGATGAATATATAAATATAAATACACGTATGTATGTATGTGTGTATATATTACACATATATATATATAAATGGTTTACAAATATGTGCTTCTAAAGCATACTAGAATTCTTTGATGATGGCAGATATAAGAAGCACTTATCAGCTGCCCTTATTTTATTAGATTTTTAATTTATGAAATTATAAGCTTTCAGGTACTGTTTTGTTTTTGTCAATTTATTCTTGGCACCTAGTACAGTGTCCCTGTCACAAAAGGGCACAGATAACTTGTTTAATGAATTCAGCAGAAATGGATGACAAAATAACAGTAACACAATTACACAGTCTTTTAAAATTGATAATTTTCCTTGAAATAACCCTGTGCTTTATAGGCTGTGCAAGTATTATCTTCATTTCAAAACGGAAGAAATTGAAGCTCAGAAAGCCTAGGTGACTTGTCCACTGTCACTCAGCTATTAGGTGCCCTCCCAGGGTTCAAAGCTGGATTTGTACTCCAAATCCTGTACTTTCTCCTATGTCAGCACATCTGCTATTACAGGTACTACTGTTCTAGTAACCTGTTCCTCACTGATGCCTCCATGGAATCCTTCAGACCTTGCTCAACGTAATCCCAGAGTAACACCAGCCGCAGTCACCAGCCTTTTCCTCCCTGCTGTATCTGAAGATGTAGTCAGCCTTATCCTGTTACAGGAATTAGCTCATTTTATGCCTAGAAGCAAAATAATGGCCCCTCATGCCCACATGGTTCCCTCTACAGCTTTTTAAAGAAATATATATTAAGTGAAAAGTGGGGAGCAATCACAAATCACCAAAAGCCTCCAGTTAGAAAAACCCTCATGCTGTTCAAAGTTGTTCCAAAACTATTCTCTTTCTCATGTTTGCCTCTCTCAATTCCTTTTTTCTAGTCTGCATTAGAAAGAGTATCACAGTAGGAATCATAACACTTGGCCTCAAATCCCAGCTTTGCTACTTGTTACACTGGCCTCAGTTTCCTCATTTAAAAAGATAAAGGTTGTGGGGGCAGCTAGGTGGCGCAGTAGATAGAGCTCCAGCCTTGAAGTCAGAAGGACCTGAGTTCAAATCTGGCCTCAGACATTTGACATTTACTAGCTGTGTGCCGCTGGGAAAGTCACTTAACCCTGACTGCCTCACCAAAAACAAACAAAAGAAAGAGAGAGAGAGAGAGAGAGAGAGAGAGAGAGAGAGAGAGAGAGAGATTGAACTTGATTATCTCTAAGATCTTTCCTGATGTCAAATACCTATGAACCTCAACTCTAGGGGTAAGGACTAATTATTTAATAAAAAGTGAAAAAAAAAATTTGAAGGCAACTTGAGAAAAATTAGGTATAAATCAACATTTCACATCCAAAATACCTATTTGTCAGTTAAAAATGGTCATGTCCTAAACAGGGAACTAATGAAGGAGATAACTTTTACAACTATGCACAGGGGAAGATTTCATGACTAGAGAATAGGGATAATCAATGAAGACAAAAAGAACAATTAAAATTACATAAAATTTAAAAGTTTTTTTATACAAACAAAACCAACAGTTGAAATTAGAAGGAAATTAACTAGGGAAAATCTTTGCAGCAAGTTTTGACAAATGCAACTCATAATATATATATACATATATATATATATGTATGTCTTATTCAAATATAAAAGAGCAAGAGTCATTCCCCAATAGATAACTGGTCAAAGGATACAAATGGGCATTACTCAAAGGAAAAAATCCTGGTTATCAACAACCATATAAAAAATGCTCCAAATAATTCACAATTACAGAAATGCAAATTAACACAACTCTGAGGGTCTAACACATACTCATGAGACTGGCAAAAAAAGGGGAAATTACAGGTGTTAGGCTGCAGGATAATAGGGACCCTAATGCACTATTTGTGGAGCTATGAATTGGTCCAGCTGGCCAGGAAACAAATGTTCCAAAAGTCATTAAATTATGTATACCTTTTGATCAAATGATACCATTACTAGATCTATAAAGCAAATTAAATAAAGCAATTAAATAAAGAAAAGGATCTATATACACACAACAATATTTATAGTAGCTCTTTTTATGGTGGCAAAGAACTGAAAATGAAGGGGATACTGATCAATAACTGAACAAATTATGATATATGAATGTGATAGAATATTATTGCACCACAGGAAATGAAAAAAGGAACAGTTTCAGAGGAATCTGGGAAGATATATACGAACTGATACCAAGTGAAGTGAACAGAACCAAGAGAACAATTTAAACAACATTGTAAAGATAAACAAAAATTGACCAACCATGATTCCACAGGACTAATAATGAAGTACGTTACCCATCTCACAACACAGAGGTGATGAACCAAAAATGCAGAATTGAGACATATATTTTTGGACACAGACTTGACTACACATAATTGTTAGAAGGGTCTTGTTTTTCTTTTTTAATTGGGGGAGGGAAAAAAAGGTAAATTTTTGTTTATTAAAATAAAAATAAATTTAAAGTAAAAAGCAAGGATTGAAAAGACAATTTTGAAAGACTTTACATCTCTGTTCAATGCCATCACCAATCACAGCTGTGGAGAACTGTGGTTGAAGCATGTTTATCCCTCTTCTGACAGAGAATTAATAGAATCAAGATGCTGAATAAGACAAACATTTTCAGTCACAGCCAATGCTATAATCTGTTTCCATTAACTATGTGTATGTTATAGGGTTTCTTTTTTTGTTGTTTTTTAAATGGGGGGAATAGGGAGATGTGGGATAGGACTGCAAAAAAAAAAATATCTCATTGAAGAATATTTTTAAATTCAAAGAAGAAGACAGAAAAAAGGTGGTCAAAAAGAATCACAGACAAGCAGCATAGCCTTGAAAGTTACAAGTTATATCCTGAATTTATTACATACTTAAAAAGCATAAACTATCCATCATAAGCTCTAAAATATAGGGATCTGCAGTGCTACATACAATTCTTTTTTTCTGTCCCAGTATGAATACAAAAACACATTTTATTTAAGTTCATAGTTTTTGAAAAAAAATAAAGATAAAAAATAAAATGCATAGAAATAGACCTATTAGATTGTAATGCTTCATTCCTCTAGTGACGGGAAATAGTTTGGATACTGCTTCATCAACTTAAACTGAGCAGCCATATTATATATAGCCTAAGGATTCTAATGAACTTCTTGAGAATTCAATACAAACTTATTAAGTAGCTGCCAGTCACTGAATTTCTAAGATCGATGAATACTATGCAAAGGTCTTGATGTGGTTTCCTGAATTTCAACTCAATATGTATGGATCATGGCCACTATATTGTATTACAATAAAAAAAAATCACACTATTCCTATAGAAGCATATAACTGACAATATTGCCAAAGAGAAATTACATGCTTTGATCACACTGAATTAAATGGATACTGTCCCATATCTACTCCTCCCACACCCCAATTTTTAAAAATGTTACTATCATCTAATGAAGCATATTTCTCTTTCTCCCTGGACTTCTAAAAGCATTGATTCAAGGTGTAACAGTAATACCAACATAATTTCATTAGGTATCAGCTGGTAAGAGGTACATATATCTTATGATACATGTTAAAGTGAGTCCCTTTCAATCACATCCAATCAATATTTTTAATGTAGTATTTCACTGTGAAATACAATCAATGTCCATGCTGTTGTCAGTGCCTTAGATAGGTGTATGGGATAGGAAGGGAGAAAGGCAGAAGAATTATTCAACTTAATCAGTATATTTTATGTATGTCCATCTTCATTTTAACAAAAGATTTATGGTAAGTTAATTTTATACTCTAAAGCATTATCCTAAAGAAAACTTTCAAGGGGCATGAAAGGAGGCCTTCTCAAAAATAGAAAGATTATTTTAAAAATCTAATCATTTAAATTATTAAGCTTTTTAAATGATTAAAAAATATAATAATGAAACACTTTAAATGTTCCCATTTAAATCACAAGAAATTGTGAAATTAAGCTTATAGTTTCAGTAGTCATGAAAAATTTGCCATTAAAGTGAGTTATATCTACCTTATTGTAAAATATTATATTGGAAAGGAACTAAATGACATACATTTTAAAAAAGAAAATAGCTTCTGTTTGATTTGGTCTTGATATTAAGTGAAGAATATCTAAAAGATTCCAAAGTCTATTTTTAAATACTTTACACAAAGTAATTTTGAGGAAACCAATAACTTGGAGACCTAACTACCTTATAGAATGCTCTACTACTAATCCAATAAGCAAATGACTTCAAAGATTTTGCTAATGGAAGCATCTTTCATATCTGGTGTCAATTTTCTCAGTCATGCTTAGTTTATCTGAAGTCCAAGGGTTATTCTGACAAAAAACAAATTATTTAAATGAGAATTCTATACAAACCTGATCCTCCCTTTGCCAGGTATTTGTCCTTCGCATAAATGACAGAATCCAACATAGACTCAAAGAGAAGAAAATAGCCCTGCATAGCAAAAGAAAAAAAAATGGATTTTAGAAGCATGCAAGTACTCTGTGATCAAGTTAGTTTGAATTATAATACTTTGTATTATAATATGCAATTAAATACTCAGTAATCTCTCATTATATCCAGTATTTTATACAGCTTAAATCTGTCAGAATGACAGTCATCAAGTCAGGTCAGGGTATGATCATGGACAAGTTTTTTCATCCCACCTTCCAGAATACTTCTTTTGTCATTGTTCCAATCAAAAGGTTCTTAATTAAATTTCAATAAGATAACATCATAACCTCAACTAGTTCTCTATTACTCTACAATTCATCTAAAAATCCTTTTCCTCTCTCAATTCTCTCCACAATTCTAGCAAATCAATTAGCATTCTGTCTCACTAAATAACTGAGACTATAATAATTTCCTCAAAATTCTTCATTACCACCACCCATTCTCTCCTACTTTCCTCTTGTCTCAGCTTGAGGTATTCCTTGGAAAGGTATCCATCTGTCCCCTTGATTCCAACACCAAGAAATCTGCTCAAATATTATCCCCTTTATCATATGTAGTTTCCATCACTATGACTTTCTAATTACATATGGACCAATTCTTCTGTAATTCTCTGAAGTATTTAACACTCTGGAGCACCACCATTTTTCTGGATACTCTCTCCTAGGTCTCCAGGGACTACCCAGTCTCCTGGTTCTCCTTCCTAACTTTCAACCTGCTCATTTCTTATTTCCTTCACTGACTCTTCACCCTCTTCTCTGTGTGTTAAAATGTGTGTTGTCCAAAGTCTGTCTGTAGGTCTCTTCTGCATATTACCTCATTTGTGAATCTCATTTACCCCCAATATATCACTCCAATACAGTTAAGTCCCAAATCCCTATTTTTAACCTTGACCTCACATGATATTCTTCATTCCCAGTTGCCTCCAAAAAGGCCTTCTCAGTATCACTAACACCTTAAACTCAATTTGTCTAACACTCACTATGTGATCTTTTATATATATATATTTTATCTCATCGGAAATGGGCTAAAGAGGGAACAACATATATGTTTAGGAGAGTATAAAAGTCTTTTTAGCTTTAGAAAGAAATAAAAGGGATGGGGGTAGAATAAGGGATGGATTTTTATAAGGGTATGCACTCTTAGAAAGACAGGTAGATTAAGGTGGAGGGTGGGGTAGAGGATAAGGGACAGACTCTTAAAGGGGTAGGTAGATTAAGGAATGGGGGGCAAGGTAGCAGTAAGTAAATTAGAGGAGTGAGGAGGGATACAGTAAATAGGGAAAGAAGGATAGTGAGGAAAAATAGGAAGGAGGGAAATATACAACAAGTAATTATAGTCTAAAATGTGAATGGGATGAATTAACCCAAAATGGAAATGGATAGCAGATTAAAAATGTGAATTCAACAATTTTGTGTTTCAGAAAACACAATAAAAATGAGAGATACACACAAAGATAAAATAAAGGGCTGGAATAGAATTTATAAAGTAAAAAAAAAAAGCAGAGATAGTAATCATGATCTTAAAGTTAAAGCTAAAAATAATTTCAGTTAAAAGAGAAAAACAGGGAAACTACACCATGTGCTACTCAATATTGAATAGAGCAATGGTTTTAGACCATTTAAAATAATGACACAGTATAAAATATCTGAGAGCATACCTACCAAAACAGACACATGAACTACATGAACATAAATATAAAATATTTCTCACACAAATAAGGTCAGATTTAAATAAGTGGAGTAATATTTATTGTTCATGGGGAGGTAAAGTCAATATAATAAAAAATGACAAGTTTACCTAACTAATCTATTTAATCTATGTACTCATCCCAATTAAATTACTAAAAAAAATTATTTTACTGAGTTAGGAAAAATAGTAACAAAATTCATTTGGAAGAAAAGGTCAAGAACTTCAAAGAAACTAAGGGGAAAAAATGTAAAGGAATAATCAGCAGTACCAGACCTTAAACTATATTTTAAAGTGAGAGAATTGTTAAAGTGTAAAATGGATAATTTTATTTAAAATTAAAATTTTCTTGTATAAATAAAACCAATGTAGCCAAGATCAGAAGGAAAGCAGAAAATTGGAGGAAAAACTTTCATAGACAACCTCTCAGTCAGTATATGATTGTTATAGACTACTTCTGTGATATAAGAAATGATGAGCTGGTTGATTTAAAAAAACATAGAAAGATTTGGACCTAAGAAGGAAGATGCTATCCACTTCTGGAGAAAGAAATGACAACTAGAAATATGCAGAATATACTCTTGCACATCTGTATATTTGTGTATATGTATATATCTATATGTGTGTATGTTTATAGATACCTGTGTGTGTGGATATGTATATGTATGTGTGTGTGTGTGTGTCTATACACACACATATCTGTGTTTAATTATAACCTTCTTTTGGGGGTGGGGGGAGAAGGGAAGGGAGAAAAAAAAAGTAAAGTAAAAAGTACACAGCAGAAAACAAAAGAAAACCTAGAAGGAAGCAAAGAAAAACTGGGTAGCTTTGAAAATGTGTAGTATTTATTACATGGGTTTTCTTGAAATGGAAATTTATTGTTTTATATTGAATCTTCTCATGTTTTGCGGTATTCATGGAAAGTTCTTTTTTTTTTCCTTTTCTCATTTTGTATTTAAGTTTAAAATGAATAAAAACTTTACACACAAAAAATGTTTTGTTTTAATCAGCCAAGATCTGCCTTTCTCACCTCCTCACTCCAACCTCTTCACCCAAAAATATGAGAAAAACAAAATTCATTACAAACAGGTATAGGCTCAGTGGATAGAGCACTAGGCCTGGAGTTAAGAAGATTCATGTTCAAATCCAACCTTAGACACTTACTAGCTGTGTGACACTGGGCAAATCACTTACCTTCTGTTTGTAACAGGTTTCTCATCTATCAAATGGGGATAATAATAGCACCTACCTCCCAGGATTGGTGTGAGGTTCAAATGAAATCATTATTGGAAAGCACAGTGACTAGTACATAGCAAGTATTAGATAAATGTTAGCTATTACTGTTTTTAGTCAATCAAAACAAATTTCCACACTAGGTCAAAAAAAAAATTGTCTCATTCTGAATTGAGTCCTTCATTTCTCTAGGAGGAGGTGGGTAGCATGTTTTAACATTAGTCTCTGGAATCCTGGTTGGTCATTACACTGATAAGAGCTCAGCACAATAGTATTCTATCAAATTTAAACACAGTAATTTGTTCCTTGTCCAATTTATGGGCATTCCTCAGATTCTCTGCCACCTCAAAAAGAATTATAAATATTTCTGTTACATCCTTACAGTTTGTTTGCTTAGGACTAATCCTTCCTTTAATTTTCCCTTCCTCTAATTCTCCTTCCCTGCTTCTCCCCTTTGCTTCCTTTTATAATCTTGAGTGAAATGGATTTTTGTGCTCAACTATGTGTCTGTGTCTAGACTTTCTTCCTCTTTTTCACCAGTTCAGGTGAGAGTGAGGTATCAGCTGCTCCCCCCTCCTTCTTCCTTGTTCGTATAGATCCTTACCTAATTATGTGAGATAATTTTCCCTAACCTTCCTTTCCCTTTTTCCTCCACATCCCATTTACTCCTCTTCCCCTCTCTTTCCATTCTTAAGATCTTCAAAACATAACAGAACCACTTCCAAGTACTGCCTGATTAGACCCCTTTATAGACCCTGATAATGACGGGGTTCAGAGGAGACACATGTATCATGTCCCCATACCTGAATGTGTGATCATTTCAAACTTCCAATTTTTGATGTTATGATTATTGTTTAATGTCCTATTATAAAGACAGGACTCCAATATGGAGTCCCTCGGGCTAAGTGATGCTAATACCCAGGGAAGTACAAAGGCAAACAGACTTAGGCTTTTCCACTATAAACTCTGTGTCAGGTGGATAAGGCTTGCAGCTTTTTGACCAGAAGAACTCTGGACCTATTGCAAGGCTCCTGATAAACTCCCCCTACCCAAGCTTCACCTAAGCCCAGTGCTGATAAGTGACCCTAAAAACTTTTCTACCACATCTAAGTTTTATTAGCAATGCCCCTTCCTACATCTGGCATCAATTACCTGCTTTCAAGCATGTCCATTATCAGGGCATACAATCTTGCCACCTAAACACTAACTATGCACACCTCCGCAACACATCTCCCTCAAACTCCACCTGGTAAGTTTCTTGCATGTGGGGAGACAAACATTGGTCTGTATAATGGCACAGTGTGTGTAAATACTTTGCTGTGTCACATAACAAAAGAAGTTTATGACTATATCATCTGCTGGGTACCAATTTCCAGAAATCCTGAGCCCAGGTATTTAACTTGAGCCACGACAGGTCAAATAAAGCAGAATGTAAGCAGTTTATTTTGTTTAGTCCTTTATCATTGCTTATTCACATTCACCTTTTTCACCTTTTCACCTTCACTCCTGAGTTTGAACTTCAAAGTTTCTCCACAGCTCTAACTTTTTCATCAGCAATGCTTAGAATCCCTCCATTTAATTAAAGGTCCATTTTTCCCCTGCAGCATTATACTCAGTTTTGCTGGGAAAGTTATTCTTGGCTATGAGCCCAGACCCTTCACCTTGCGGAATGGTATCTGCTAAATTATGTGTGATCCTGACTGTGGCTTATCCGTTCTTGAACTCTTTTTTTCTGGCTACCTGTTGTATTTTTTTTTTTTTAACCTGGAAGCTCTGGCTTTTGGTTGTGATGTTCCTGGAGTCTTCATTTTGGGATTTCCTTTCAGGAGGTAATCAGTAGATTCTTCCTATTTCCACTTTGCCCCCTGGTTCTAAGAAATGTGAGCAGTTTTCTTTTAAGATTTCTTGAGACCTGATGTCTTTTTTTGGTCACGGTCTTCAGAAGTCCAATAATTTTTAAATGTTTTCTCTTTGATCTGTTTTCCAAGTCAGTTGATTTTACTTTGAAATACTTTATGTTTTTCCATTTTTTCAGCCTTTTGATTTTAATAGTTCTTTATGTCTCATGAAGTAAATGACTA